GAAGTCACGTCCTCACGACGCCAGAGGGCGCCACATGCCGCAACTTTCTCTGACATTTATGCTTAACGGATTGAAAACGCCTCCAATTCTGACATGTAATATATATATATACATATTTAATACTTGCTCTCTGCACAACCACAAATTATTAAAAAAGTAACAAAAACAGTTTATCTTCAATTTGAGTGACATTTGAGCTACGAGAGCATTTGAAATACTTGCTTTACTCTGATGGAAAAATATCCATTTTAATTTAAAGACTTAAGTCTACATATATGTATGTGCATAAATAAAAAACTAAGAATGCTGTAGGCGAGTAAACTCTCGACTTGGGGATACATTTCAGTTGTGTTGCAGGGAATTTCTCTCATTTCTTATGGCAAGCTCAGGCACCAAAGAGTAAAAATCCCGAACTTAAATCCCCGGCTTTCGAGAAGAGCGTACACACGTCCGAGCTTAAACATACATACAAATGTATGTGTGTTGCAAATTTGCATTACTCATTACTCTAATCTCAGCATAAGTTCTTCTGAGTTGGGCATGAGCTACAATTATTATTCTTTAAAGTTGTCCACTTTTTGTCTTTTTCTTAACTTCCTTACGACTTATGAAAGGCAGATCAATAATTTTACGTGAACTCTGAGCATATTTTAAACACTCTGCTGTGACACTTTCACCAAGGGTAATTTTTCATTTGTGGAACTTGGGTTTTTTTTAATTGTTGCTCGGCGCTGAAGAAAAAGACGCAAAACATAAACGGAAAATATGCGAATTGTGCGCAAAAAAGTTGCGTAATCATAAATCAACATGAAGGCGTGTCCAAAAATTGTTGCTCTTGTTGCTATTGTTGTTGTTTTTGTTGCTGCTGCGCTTGTCAGTTTTCATCAGTAACAAATTAACTGCCAACTGCCAACTGCGAGCGTTGCTAATGTTCATGTTGATGTTGTTGGTGCTTTTCCCCTACACTCGGAAAACAATTGTGCTAAGAATTTCTACTTTTTAGAAATGTTTTTTTTTTAATAGTAGGAATATTTGTACAAATTTTGAATCTCATATCTAGAAATTATTTCTAAAATGAGGAAACACTTTCTAATATTTAGGGTGACTTCTTTCTGAGTGTAGCAAAGGGTGTGGAGTGCATGTGGGTGCGTTAATGTAGCTGTGTGTGTGGTTGTGGGTGTGGATGTTGGCCAAGCCCCCCTCAACCGCCCACACATCGCTCAGCCGATTACTAGGCAATAATTGTGATATTTGAATGACAAAATGCTTAATTGGATTTTTAGAGTCACAATAAATTTGACATTGAGTCACTGCTTGCTACATTTGTAATTTACATCAGGATGTCAAGCCGAAATCGATTTCGATTCTGACGTACAGATTCTGAGAAATTTTCCGGTTTTTTTTGTTACTTTTTCACAGTTACCTGTTAAGTATGTATATCACAAAAATGCATTTAATTTTTACAAAAATTCAAGTACTTCGGACCATAACATCTTAGTCTGGCCGTCTGTATGATTAATCGAATCTCAGAGACTATTAATGCTAAATGCGTTCTCTTCAAATGTTGATTTTTAATATATTTTTTATTGTATATAAGGTGAAAACGCTGAATTAAATTATGTTTTTGTTCTTACTTATTTTTTTGAAGAATTTTCTTCCACTTCTAAACACGTTATCATAATATTAATATTAGTAACGGTATTTATTATTATTATTATTATATAGTATTAGAATCGATAAACAAGCAGTTCCGATTCCGATTCTAATTCTGGTTTGACACACACACACACACACACACATATTGCTATCGATAATTGTTTATTATGATCTGACTGAAGTCCGAACGAATTGTGGAAAAGTGGAATTGTAGGATTGTAGTCCGAGTTCTTTGGCACATACTCACACTTATCATCTTTGCTCATATTTGCGAAATGTGCTTCAATAATTAATAATAATACTAGTCGGTTATCAATCACTCAATAGCCCAATCAGTCTGCCAGTCTGTCCAGACCATGAGCTGAATATGCTCTGATGGCTCTCGGTTAGGCACTTTAACTGTAAATGCTCCACGAAACCCAAAACGGGCCACAATGTCCCACGATTTATCTACGAAAACTCCAAGATAATGACGACTAACTTTTATTTTTGGCCAGGCTACACTCAACAAAAAAATCGCCCCTATCGTCCTAAATTATACATTTTTTTTCTCGAAATATTTTAAAAATCCAGCCTGAATCTTTGAAATGCAAACCCTGATTTTTAGAAAGTCACAACCATAAAGTGTATTCCCCGGCAAATAGTATGGCGATTTACAAAAATGTAGTACGATTTTTTATGAGTGTAGAGAGATACGGAGAGAGAGAGAGAGAGAGTATGTTATATTGTATTATATTTCATTTTTGTGATATGGGCAAAAAAAAAAAAACAGATACCCGGAGCACCTTTCCGGCGACAGCTGAGATAACTGCAATAGTATTATGGGAACAAGGTTTTTATCAGTTTCGAACTCGTGGGTGATTTCATTTACTACATATGAATGTAATACAAGTAACTAGACTACACATACACACACACTCACACACATACACACACACCTATGTGGTAATATTATATGATATTGCTCTGATTGCTGCCTTTTTTATACCCTGTTCTAATTGAAAGTGATTAAAATGGGTATCTTTAGGTTTGGTAAAAAGGCGGAAGAAAACATCTCCGACTTAATCTATCTATATTCTTGCAGAGCTATTAAGATTTAACACTTTTTGAACCATTTTATTAAAAGCTGTGCTCAAGCTGATACAGGGTATCTCACAGTCGACCTTTATCAACTGGAGCACTCTTATTTGTTATGACAGATTAAGAGATACGAAAGGCCTTATTCCAAAAACGACAAGTGTTTTTATAAGTGGCTGCTTCAATTAAGGCATTCCATACTCTGCACTAGATTGATCTTAAAACATTTTGTTTTTAATTTTCGACTGAGAAAATGGAAAGTTACCACCAATATTTTTGAATATATTATATACCATAATTGGAGAATGGATGATTATCAAGTACACTATCTCCCCTAACTGTGAGGAAGAGACTAGCTTCGAGTATTTTAGCAGAGAGACTTTTATTACGATTTAAAAATAATTTTATAAAAATATCGATAAAACCGATAATTGCAAGTCGATAAAGCTGCAAATCTCTCATAAATTTAAAGGATAGAGTTATCAAACTTTGAGCTTAGATTTCTGATCTTCTTTTTCAAGAATGGACGTACAAATTTTGGGACCAATATGTTAATAATATTAAAAATAATATTTCATATTATTACCCTGGTATCAGAGTATTTCTCAGTCGGTTATGCCCGCTCACTTGTTACTTTTAATTGAGTTGACAAGCCTCGGCAAAGAATCAACACATTGGTTTAATTCTTTTATGTGAAGATAACTTTTAACAGACACGACTCATAGAACGAGACTAAAAACAATGTCAGAAAATTCTCAATTTATCACAGCTTTTGTTAGTTGTTTCAAGTTCACACAAGATTTATCATCTCAATGTTTGCATTTCTATAGATATATCAACATCAATTTCATTATTCTGTCAGCTGACTTGTTTTCAGTCAGCTTGTACTTGGCTTAAGCGATTAACAGCGAAGAGAACTTAGAGTTATTTTCAGCTAATAATTTGGCTAAGTTTTTGATTGCCTGCCAAAGTCTTTCTTTTCAGTTATCAGTCATCAAGTGAATGAAATTAATTAACTTTAATACAATCGATTAGATTATATATTTTTCATAATTTTGGATATTTTTGTTTACAAAACCAGCAAACGAGGAAATGAAAATGAGTTAAGCCCGAGTGTATCTGAAGTGTCAGTGCACCTGTCGCCGCTGCTGCCAAAAATAAATGATCTATTTAACAACAAACCACAACTATTAAAGCAACAACGCCGTCTGCAAGTACAGTCAGAGAAAAAACGCCCTATATTTTCGTAAATCACCCTGAAAAATATAAAGCTTTCTTGTTATTAGGAGTAATTTATACATATTAGGAAACAAATTAATAAAACTTAGAAAGGTTTGCTTTAAAGATCAATTCCAATAATATGGCAATATGCGAAAACTTAAACACGGCTATTTAAAATTTGTTTATTATTTTAATTTTAGAAATGTACTTTCTGAGTAATAGTTTAATAAAAGGTGACCAACCATTGACGCTAAAGGTATGGCGATTTCCAAAAATGCTTTTATATTTTATGAGTGTAGCAAATCGCAAAAAGAAATAGCGAATAACAAACATGAATTAATTTTAGCATTTAGCGACACGCAAAAGGGCGGCCACAGCTAAATTTAGACTGCTTTTGGGTTCAAAAGTGCAAGCCCCAAAAATAAATGAAAAAGCATTTGCGATTTGCGAATTTGAATTTGATTTGGGCTGACAGATTGCGTATACGTCGTGTGGACGCCAAACTGGCAAATTATATGCAATTAAATGCGAATAGCTGCGAAAACTTTGTTGCATATTGTGAAAACTGAGCAAAACACCATTAAAAGTAATAATGAGGATAGAGTTGTGAGACGATGTCCCTATATATTCAATGATCAATAATAAATATGATAATTAAATGCTAAATTACACAATTATATTGCCCAATATTTCGTAACATTCACATTCTTAACATTTAGCGGCACTTGATTTAAGTCTTTGCGAAATGCATAATAAAAAATTAATTAAAAAAAATTGAGGACTTAAGAAATGTTGTTAGTGGAACCAGTCTATAAATTCGTATCATAAACCCACTTTTTTATCTTTATATCATATAATAACTATCATATATGACTATTTTTGATAATGAAAGGCAAGACTATTTTAGGCTACCAGGCATTATTAAATTCATATCATATAGCCTTTTGTGTCAATTATTATAATCTATATAAAAACATCAAATTAACAATTTTACGAGTATATATAAATATTGAAACTTTTGTTGCAAGTTTTCGTTTTTCACTTACCTGTAATTTCCACTTCGGTAAACGGTTTCTTTTTTACAGCCTTTCGTTGTTCGAATGAAAATAAAAATCAGAAATAAATTAATCAAAAAAATCAAACAAAAATTCTGTGTGTTTATTTAGAAAATTGCACTCGTTTATTTACCTTTGGGGCACGTTTTCCCAGCAGCGCTGTTCCCAGCATCTAAGGCACATAAATACTTATATAAATCATTTTAGTTATGTGGCACATACATATATATATATAAATCTTACTTTTACTGGCTAACATTTTTTGTTAGAATTAATTGCATAGTTTTAAGCGTCAAAGAAAATCAAAAATATTTTACTGGCTTCCACAAAAGGCGCAATTTGCAATTAAATTGCCAAAAAAGAATACTCAAGTTTCTACTTTACTAGTGCTTACTGTACTTGGCTGTTGGTGTTCTATTTATTTTTGACATTTCGTTTATTACGTCGTTATTTTGAGCACTCTTTGTGTAAATGTAAATGCGATTTTCAATTTATTATACATTTTTATTTTAGTCTGAAGAATTTGCAGCATTTTTCTCCTATTTTTTTCTTTTTGTTTTGCTGTGTTGAGTTTGTGCCTAAACTGAAAACTCAAATTGCTCAAGTCGGCAACAACAAAGTCGGCCAACAAGCTGTGTGCCAATTCTTGGGTCAATTGATTTTTAATTTCCCTCATTTTCATCCTTTTAGTATTCAGCAATTAATTGAGGGATAAAATAGACGCGAGCATTCCACATTCGTTGTGACTAAGAGAGCTCTTCTATTAAAATTGAAAATGTGTTCAGAGGTTTTGTGCAAAGGTATGTAACTGGCTATAAAGAAGACAGCATCTGCTATCCCATAAGGTATATATACTCTTGTTCAGCAGCAACCGCAGAGTCGATCTCAGAGACCTCAAATAAAGTTATCTTTCATCTGTCAACTACTTATTAGTATGCATAAGGTTATTCCAATAACCTAACCCCGACTGTAAAACCTTGGCCGAGGTTATTTGCTTGTGGGCAGTAAATATAAATTGAAAATGTAAACAAACTCATAAATTTATTGTCTGCTTAAATAAGACGTTTTCGAATTGCATATTTAACGACTGCTTAGAATCACATTTACCGGACACCTTTTGAAAGCGTCATTCCTAGACCACATAAATTTGTAATGTGACAAACTTTGATCTACAGAAATACGGCAAGGCTGACAAAACTGAGTTCGGCGACATTTAATAATGTGGATTAACGAACTCATTCAATTTGTGTGTGTGTTTTTCATTACAATCTATACAAACAGATTTAAGATTAGCATAAAAAGAGAAACTCACAGATCGAAACAATTGCGTATAACAAATGGGAATGAAAACTTGCTGAAATTATTGGCAAGCTCTTTTCGTAGAAAGGCGCCCCTGATAAATAAATTTGGCATAACAAAAGCTAATAATCGCCGTTGTTTATATTTGGCGAGCAGACTTTTTTCTTTTTTTTTGTGTGTTGTTTAAACACTCGGTTTTTTTAGTGGCATAGAAAACATTAAGCAGCCGTCGTCTGACGTTGCCACGTCTCATTATTCTCATTATTCTCAATATACGCCAAAAGATTGCAAAACGAAACATTAAATTCAACATTAAATATTGCGAATATAATCTAAGGAGCATAGGTAACAGATATCCATCATGTATCAAATTGGATTAATTTAATATGATGAGCATAAGTAATAGATACCCATTGGGTTAATTTCAAATAATTAATTTCAGTTACACATTATCTCAGAATATGTTATATAGATCTCAATTTGTATACCCTGAACACAATAAATATGGCTAACAAGAGGTATAATGGTTTTGTTCAAATGTATGTAACAGGCAGAAGGAAGCATCTCCGACTCCATAGAGTATATATATTCTTGATCAGGGTCAACAGTCAAGTCGATATAGCAATGTCCGTCTGTATGAAAACGCAGATCTCAGAGACCATTAAAGCTAGAGACTTCAAATTTGGAATAAAGGTTATCGAATATCCAGCGAAGATCAAGTTTGCCTTATTTTATCGATAACTGCCTCCGTTAATCGAATATCGCTTCTTTTTTTGTGTGTATGATTCAGAACTCCGTTACCCCGTTACGACTGCATGGACGTATATTTGTATGTATGTATATATGAATATTCACGTGTGTGTCGACAGAGCGCGTTTGCAAAGCTGCTTACATTTTGGCGCAAAACTTTCAAAGGGAAATTTTGCAATAAAAGTAGAATATATTTAACAACTGGGCTCTGTGTATATCGTAGTCGAGCTCACTCGACTACAGCACTCTTCCTTGTTATGAAATATTTTTTGTTTTATTTTTTGGCTATATTTTAGTTGAGTCATTAGCTAATTTAGGGGCTGACATTAGCTACCTGTTGGATGAGGTTGAGGATTGACTGAAGTTAAAAAGCAGCTGTAGAATGAAATATGAAGTCATTTGATAATGCTTTATGAAATGAGTGTATATTACAAAAATACCCCTTATTGCATGAATAAATAACATTTGAGTGGATAAGTTTTACAATAAAAACAAGTAGGAATGCTGTAGTCGAGTGAGCTCTCTCAAATGTAAGCAGGTGTGGAGTGCTCTTATTTCATATGATCTCCACAGGTTCTGACGAGTAAAATCAAGTAAAAATGTTGTTGTCGGGTTAATTGGATTACGATATACCCTAAAACCATATAGTAAATATATTATTCTAGTATTTTTGCCTTATTTCCCAATAAAAATATTGTACACCGAGTTGTAAGCATGCATGAGAGTATTTCCATTTCTTGTGGTAGACACAGGCAGTAAAGAGTAAAAATAAACTAAGGCACCACATTTTGATAGTAATGAGATTAATATGAGAATATGTTTTTAACTAAAACTTGGCTGTTTCATATTCGATCTTGATGACAGTTGATAAATTATAAGTCAATGTTTATTACAAATCAATTAGAAGCCACCGGCTTTAAAATTGTGTCTTTTATTGCTATCGCAAATCGATGTGTACCGATGCTCGCGAAGCGAGTGCAGTTATCGAGTTATATCAAGCTTACTCGGCTCGTAGCTGCTTCCCTCTGCCTGTTACATGCTTGTGTACAACCATTATACCTTTTTCAGGCATTTTGAATGGCGTACATCATTTGAGAGGTCGCTTATTGAGACCCAGTTAATTTGTTAATGCTTAAAATCAATATTTACATGCAAGTCAAACAGAGATGAACCAGTAAAAATATGATAAACTGCCTCAATGTGAACTTTTGTTGTTGTTGTTGTTGTGTATAAATGCTAAACGAGCCTTTAAATATTGCGTTAATAGTGCCATAAACATTATTTATTAACTGGGGAACAACAATTAATATGCGCAAACATTAAAAGTGTAATTTGTGTACGTTAAATGAAAGCGGAGGCTGTTGCCTCGATTTGAAACGAATTTAATAAATATTTACACAAATGTTTTACGGATCGTGTTCGGGTTATGGGATGGAAGGGTTTAGAAGTGTGCTACTCACCTTTAGCTGCTGACGTAGTCCACTCATTGGGCTCATTCAGTGTGGATAAAGCAGGGATGCAAAACGAAATGTGCCCGATGACGATGGCGATGACGATGTGGCGTATGTGTAATATTTATAAATGCCCTACTTTTAAATATATATAAATATATATGTATATATATATTTTAGCAGATGCTTATGATTTGATTGAATTGTAAGTGCACATAAATCGTTGAAATCTTTTGTTAGTTATTTTTAACACTTCTTTGTTTGTGTTTTTCGGTTTGTGTATTTAAATGCGCGCGTGCAGCATTTGCAAATTGCCCATTAGAATAAAAAATTGATCCTCAGTTTGCCTTCAACTTGTGTTCAAAATTATCGCACTTGAAATTTTTGTTATTTTTATTTTGCTCTGGTTTGTTTATATATATATATATATATATATGATTATATATAGTTAGTCGCGAGTCGCGTTCCGCTTGACGATCGTCTCGCAACGGAGTCTCAAACAATATTGAGAATATATTCATTTGCCTCCAACGATCGACGCAGGCAACCGAAACTCAAAAAAAAAAAAAACACACACACACACACATATGCACATATATATATTTTTTTATATATGTATGCAAAATGTGGGCGCGAGACTAGCCAACAAATAATACACAAAGAAAAACAACAACAACAGCAACAAAAAAAAAAACGATATTAAAGAAGAAAAAACGATATAAAATAAGAGAAATCTAACGGCAAATGAAAACAAAAACAAAAACAAATCAACTCGACAACCGGCAGCTGCCGTGCCAGACAATTTCTTCTTCTTCATCATCTTATAGTTGTTGTTGTTCACAGATGTTTAGAAAATCTCTCTTTTTCCCTTGTTGTTGTTGCTGCGATTGCCATTTTTATTTTGTGATTTATCCAATTTGCATACCCTATTTTATAAGCTTGTAAAGGGTAGCATAACTTGGCGGTCAGGTGGATTTCCCCTTGAGCAGCACTAGCCAAGTAGACGACTTCAGTTCGGATCACTACACTGAGAAAAAATTGCATATTTTTCTAAAATTTTAGAAAACTCCAAATTAAGAAAAGGGAATCCCCGGTTTTTCAAAAGACACAACCTGTTTTTCAACATACAAATTCTTCAAAATAATATAAGCAACAAAACAGCTAAATAATATATAAAAAAATACCATGAAAATTATAAATATTTTTTGTACACTTAAAAAAGATGTAGATGTGTAAGAGAAAAAGCTTGGTTTTTTTTAAAAGACAAACAATGTTCCCTTTTAGAAATAGACTTGCTGGATAATAATGGCGAATGTATATGACAAATCGATCGAAAGTTTAGGGTATTAAATCTTAAGCATGCCCTACAGACAGCTGAAATTGCTTGTTCTTGTCAAGAACAACAAGAAAGCTACACGCATCTGGCTGGGATTTAAAGGCACACACACATCTGTATACATATATATATATATATATATATACATATATATATATATATATATATGCATAATATGCTGAGCATATGCTGAATATATACATAGTACACGGAAAACACAATAAAGCTGTCTCGAATATAATATTTTCACATCAGCTCAGTCGAGAATAGAGAAAATAAGATTTGTGGCATTGTTTACTAGTGCGATTTATTCGAATCTCAAAATAAAATTCAAATTAAAGAAATATGCCAGCAGCATATTTGTGTCTATTTATATATTTCAAAGTTGTAAAAGTCTTAAATATATATATATGTATATATATATATATATATATTTAATTGACAAGTCAATCAACCCGGTTGTAAAAATAAAACGGATGCGTTTTTTTCTCCTTTAGTTACACACGTTGCGTATGAGTTATTTTTGGGGATTGATAATTTTTAGAGACACCTTTCGCAATCCAGAAACCAGAGATAAGCTGTATTTAATTAATACACAATCAGCTTATGACATGAAAAAGTACAGCTAAATTAAATTCTATAGCTATGTGTGATAAATCACTGCCTATTTATACATATATACATATATATATAATTAAGTGCTTGTCAGTCATTTTAAAAAGTGTGCCTGAAACAGCCTGAAAGGCCCCATTGGCTTTAATGGGGTAAAAATTAACATTCTTATCATAATGATTCATTCAATGAATGTGTTTGAAGCTGTGCAAATATTTAATAAATATTTAGCAAATATTTAAGAAATTTTAATAAATATTTAACAAATATATAACAAATATTTGATAAACATATTTCTGGTTGGCCGATTTCATCGTTATCACTTTGTATAGATCAAAAGCATATATATGCCATATATATGCTTTTGATTTGAATCATTACAAGTTCAAAATTCATTTTGGTTCTGGCATCTTGTTTATTTATTTATTTAAAAGTTCGCACAGAAATGCATAAAATGCGCCACGCGTCGACCGATAGAACTCATTGCAAATGGGTTGAGAATATATATATCTATATCTATATATATGTATATATATATGTATATATATGTAGCAGAAATGATGAAAAACTGTCTGTTGATGTGCCATCAACCATTAAATATGGCTAAAAAGGGTATAATGGACTTGTGTAAATTTATGTAACCGGCAGAAGCAAGCAGCTTCGAACCGAATAGTATATATATACTTGATCAGGAGCAAGTGACGAACCGATAAAGCTTGATCCATATGTGTGAACTAGCCGATCTCAGAGGCTATAACACACAGTTGAAGTTTATTTAATTTTATCAATAACTGCCTCCGTTTCACGAATATCGATACGTATTGATTTGCGATAGCAATAAAAGTCACAATTTTAAAGTCAAAGGCATCCAAATGCTATTAATATCGGTTTATAAACACCCAAGTTATTAGTACAAAAAGTATTATCGTATTGATCTCATTAGTATTAACACGCGCAAGCATTTTGTGCATGTGTGAGAAAGGGATAGCATGATAATTAAAACGAGCATAAATATGTGTATGTGTGGATTCTGCAGCGATTGCCTATACATACACACACATACACACGTATGCATATGCAAGTATTTATCGCTAGCCGGCTAGGTCGGGCTTTTAACTCATTGGTGCCTGAGCCTGCCTTAAGAAATGAGAGAAATTCCCTGCAAAACGTTAGAAAGGGAAATTTGGCATTTGAAATGGAATATATTTAACAGCTGCTTGCAGGGTAACTCACATTCGAACTTTCGCGTTTTATGGTGTTTTGCCAATGATTTTTTTGAAAATTTGCAGCTCTGCTGATGGCCGCTGCTAATATGCTATTAATGTAAATATTTACAAAAATCATTTCTGAACTAATTTACAAATTGTGCAAAGCGAACCAAAACACAGCTATATACATATGTATATCGCTATATATACATGTGTTGCTTAGATATACTAATAATAAATCTAAAAAGTGAGCAATTTGATAATACAAATTAAGCTGGCATTTAACAAGTTAGTTGCCTGGCGAAAAAGGCGACAACAATTCAAATTCAAATAAATAATGAAAATGTTGCTGTGAATGAAATGAAATCAACAGTGTTAAATCACTGTTCATTTTACTACGCGTAGTAAGAATGAATTTGTGTGAGTGTTTACGTATGTGTGTAGCTAATTTAGCTAATTGCTGCCAAACGAAGCGTAAAACGAAAAAGTTTCAAGGTTAAGTGCATAATACACACATGCACATATGTGTAAACATGTATGTGTGAGTGTGGGTAGCTGTAAATGAGCTCAACTCTAGTTGACAGTGCTGTTAACTGCACTTACAGCGAACGGTTTTACAGTGTTGCCTTCTGGTTCCAGTTCCAACAATTGGTCTCTCTCTCTCTTTCTCTGTCTCGTAAAGAGCGCAAAGACGACAAGTGGCGATCGGTGCAAAGCAGCAGGCAGCACAGTCCAAACGCAAATGATCATCATTCGTATTTTGCGTTTTGTCAACCGAATCTCTGCCTCTGCTTTGGAGGCAACGTCGGCGCCGGCGTCGGCGTCGTCTCCTCATCTGTCCCGTTGTTTTTCGTGGGCGTGGGCATGTTAAAAAGGTGTGTACATATTGTAGTGTAATGCATTGTGCTGGGTTTTCTTTTTAATTTTCTCTCCCCACGCTCTGCTTTATTTATTTGTTTTTATCTTTTCCCACATTCGGTTTTAACTGTTAATTGTGCTATTTTCTATTGAACATTTAACGTGTTTTTTGTTGTGCAGTTTTCAGAATTTAGTTTTTGGCAAATAGATCTGACTATCAAACCGAAATAAGTCTAAAAATAGACGACATTTTTAAAATACATTTAAGCATAAGACACACATAAAGCACAGCTATCATCTAAATGCTGTATACCCTTCCACATTGGAGTCCATCTGTTTAAATGTTCAGCAGATTTTAAAATTATAAACCAAAAAATCGTATTGAAATGGAACCAATTATCCCAGTATCAAAATCATGTCTTTTCGTCATGGTTTCATCTCTAGATTAATACTGAATTTAAAGTTGAATGCGGACTCCAAATTCATCTTAAAATACTAGCCCAAAAAATCAGTTTTGGACAAGGTTAAGCAATTTCCCAATACCATAATTTCCTCAAAACTGATCAGATTTTCTAATAACAAACAGGATCAGGATTTGTTTTCGATTGACATGCTAGTAGCATCAATTCAATTAATATGCTCTGCAAGTGTATAAGACAAACTTGTATTATTTGCAGAACAATTTTAAACGAATGGACCAAGAAATAAAAAATTATTGCTATCAGTTTTAGCGCTGATGCAACAGCCATTTTAGAAGGCAATTTATTGATTTAAATTAACATTGATTTGATTAAAATATTTGTCATAAGTATGTGTCTCTATAATGTATATTGTATCTATAGCTATTAGTCGTTCAGATTACACATATTAATTGAAAATCGATTAGTTGTGCGCGTCTGCTTTGATTATACTAAATACTAAATGCTTATGCTTAAATATCACAACATTTTGGATATTATCTGTGTTTTTGTGTTGGAGACTAGTAAAAAACTACACTGGAAAAAACAGCCTATAATGAAATTGTGTCCTGTAATGTGGAAGTATTTGTATCTCATGGCTAGATCAAATTTTCGCTAACTTAAAGCTAAATCTAATGAGCTTTAATTAAGCTCTGGATAGATTACATTTTCAGATACTAAACCTAATCAGCTTGAAGCCTAAGAAAAGCATTTTTTGTTGTAGTAGAATTTGCAATATTAATATTATTTGTAGTATCACAAAACTTACACCTGCAAATAGCGATAGCTGGCAGCTGAGCCACCAACTCCACCAGCACCACTCCGATAATTACTCTCACTTAGCTTAATATATTGGCCCAGGAAGCTTAGCACCCAGGTGCTGCGACAGATATTGTGTAGATAACCCAACAGGTATGGCGTCAATATGGTGCCCAAAATGTAGGCCAACTGAGGTATGCGATCCGTGTGTCCCATAAAGGGCCAGAACCAAAAGCCCCGACGCACTGCATCCCTCGTGTGATGCGTGATGAAGGCACAGAGCAGCGCTCCCAAGATTAAACTGCTGCGAAAATAATTCAGGCATGCTGTGCATATATAAAACAGGATCAGACCGAGCACAATGCTCGAGCAGTGCAGAAAAGGACGACGCGACAAATTGGTGGCATCCTGGACATAGTAAAGAATACAATAGATAATATCTGTTGATATATTAGATCCATTCAGAAAACAAATCGATCTCTATTTTAGAAAATATAACATTTTTCTTGTTTTTAGAAATAATTTCTAAATATTAGCAGAAAAATGTCTACAAACTAAATTGACCGTTATTTTTTCTGAGTGTATGCATATGTGCCGTTAGCTCACCTCCAAGTAGAGCGAACGGGCCTCCACAAAGTGATCCAGATCAATGAACGAGGATGCCACAAAGCAGCTGAAAATCAATATCCAGCCAAAGAGTTGACTGGTTCGCTCATAGAACTGCATGGCAAATGCGATTCCGGTCAAGGCGCCAATTGCGGCATGTGTTGCATTGTCCGCCAGAGCTTTGAGCAGCGGATGCTGGGTGAGTTCGACGAAATTATCACCCAGCAGGCATGTGATGGTTACCAGCGTGGTGAGCACAATCCGTAGATAGACCATTGTGTGGCAATGTGGCATCGATCGATTCCTAATTCGATCTGGAACTTTGAACTGGTTTCGTTTATGGACGGAATCTCAGCACAGCTGTTTCTTCAATTTTGTTTTCACTTAGTCGCTGTTGTTGTTGTAATGCTCCTGTTACAACAATTTATTTAAGCTGTAAGCAAAGTAAAAACAAAAACTGTTAACTGCAACTGTTAATTTTGTGTTGATTTTATTCGATGTCACTCACGTGCTTCACCGATGTTGCAATAACTGCAATCCTGCAGATACCTTAGGTTGCAAGTACACACACATACTATTGCCAGCATTACATGGACTTTGCTGCAGCAACAACAACAAGCGGCATACTTTCTTTGGGTCTAAATTCCTTTTGCCCCCAGCATGTTTTGATATTAGTCACAGCAACGTGAAGTCGGCTACAGCTGTAAATGCAGTGCTGCCACTTGGCAGTCAAAGCAACTGGCAGCACTTCAAAATACAACAGCTGACTGGAGGCGCCAAAATTCAAGTGGACTACCCTAATTGAAAATTAAATTTGAGCATAACCTTTTTAATAACTTAATTTTCAAGAGCTCTATTGCTAAGGCTCTCTCGCTACACACAAGATAAGCAAGTACATACACATGTCTGTATTAGCATATCAATGAAATTTTCCATACGAAGCTCTCTTGCTTTAAGTAAGATAAGAAATGACATTCACACATACCCACTTAAACACTTGACTGCATTAACCTTTAAAAGTGGCGATAACATCTGACACTTGTTGTAAATTGAATTTCTTGTTAGCTGTTTATTTATATATATATAAATAAACAGCTAACAATAAAATTGGCGATAACATCTGACACTTGTCGTAAATTGAATTTCTTGTTAGCTGTTTATTTATATATATATATATATATATATATATATATATATATATTCATCGAACAACTTTTAAAACTCAATGTGGAATGGATAATTTTTGCTCTTGACAGCATGTTCCATTTTGACCAGACGGTCCCCATTATTATATGAGTCCAAAACTGAATGATCAGCTGCATCTAATTTGAAGTCAAATATATTAAAATTCTCCTCAATGCGCTTCGGATTCGATGACTTTGGCAACGGCACAGTGCCTATTTCAATCTACAACGATTACGGATTAATTGCTATCTATATATTATATTCTGTACAAATACTCACCAGATAACGGAGTACAACTTGAGCTGTTGATTTTTTGTATTTATCAGCAATTGCCTGCACTTTGGCATCGTATATAAAACCGGGTTGTTTCTTAGATGGATCTGGTCTGCCCAGGGGACAATAGGCGGTAACAATAATATCATGCTCCTTGCACAAAGCAATCAATTTACGCTGATTCAAATACGGATGACATTCAATCTGCAGAAAGATATAGTATGAATATAATATAAAATATAATATAATAAAATACAACCTGATTGTGTATTGGCTTGATTTTGCAGTTGGCCAACAGACGCTTTAGCTGCTCGGAATTGAAATTGGAGACGCCGATGTTTTTGACCAGGCCTAAATCGATCAGCTTTTCCATGGCACGCCAGGTGTCCAAGTAATCCACATCGCTGGTAAAATAATAATATAAAAATGATAATAATAATATGAATTATATTATATACTTGTATTTTTTTAATGAAATATACTTCATAAAGTTGTATTTAATAATAATATAAAATATAATATAATATAATGTAGCATAATGTAATATATAATAATAATAAGTAATTATTAATAATATATATAATTTGTTTCTCTCTAAAAATATTTACTTACCTTAACTCCACCTCACCCTTGGCATCCGTTGGCATTAACACATTATCGCTCCGATGGACATAGGAATATGGCCAATGCATCAGATAAAGATCAACGTATTCCAGTCCAAAGTTTTGCAACGTTTTGCGACAAGCATATTCCACTCTGTCGGGCTCATGGAAGTGGCACCACAGCTACGTGGAATAACTATTTAGATGAACTCACTTTCCAATCAGCTCACTTCACTCTTCACTTACCTTGGTCGTTATGAAAATATCATCTCTCTTGATGACGCCCTCTTTTATCTTCTGGCGCACTGCATTGCCCACCTCCCCCTCATTTTCATAGAAATAGGCGGTGTCAATATGCCGATAGCCCACATCAATTGCATGCAGCGTTGCCCGCTCGCAATCACCACCCAAAGACTGCAAAGAGAGAGATAGAGAGTGGGAGACAGAGTGAACGATAGCAATGCTTGTATTTCTGTTTTTATTTTTTACTTCCATTATGGAAAGTGATCGTAATTGTGATTAGGCTTACCGTATATGTGCCCAGACCAATTGTCTGGATTTGAGTGCCGTTGTTGTGCTTTACGTAGGGAGCTTTTGGTGCCGACATGTTGCGATTTCTCTGCCAGCTGCCTGTCAACTGTTGCTCAACAACTGCGCCCGCTTCTTATTTATATGTGTTCTCTCTCCCGCTCTCTTTCGCTCATGCTCTTTGCACGTGTTCTAAAAAAGCTTTTATCGCCTGAGTATAGGCGACTTTTCAATTCGCTTTAGTAAATAATAATGATAAATAAATAAGTAACAATAATTAGTAACAACTAAATAATAATAATTAATTAATAATAATATTAATATTTGCAATTAAGATTGCAAATAAAAATTATTAATCAAAAATATTATGTCATGAAATAAATAACTTTTAATTATTATGTTTGTGTGCCCTATTCCAGAAATTAGCACAAGCTTTTCACGCTCAAGTATACTTATTGCCGTTATTATATGGGCGCAGAAGCGAGCTTTTTGCAACGCTTTTTGGCAAAGCACTGAAACAGTTTGGAAGCGAAACAACATCTGTTATTCCAAAGTGGCACAATGTAGTCCGTAGTCGTAGTCCTTGCCACAATTCGTCACATGCCAACACATTGCATACAAAAAAAAAAAAAACCAAAAAATAAAAAAGAAAAGAAACTGAACTGAAGCAATTTTTTTAAGTTTATAAACGGGGTGAGGCTCAAAGTGTGTGAAATTAAAATATATACAAATTGGAACTGCTTAAAATTTAAATTGATTTAAGCTGAGTCAAAAGAAAAAAGAGTGTATATAAAATACAGATTATAGACTGTATATCTGTATATGTAATATGTGCACTTATTTTATAAATTGTTATTAAACATTTTGCATACTTAATAAAATGTTAATGCCCAAAAATGTGTTTATTTAAGTTAGAAAAGTTGGAGCAGCTGAAAAATGATTGTATTTGTAATTTCAGTATACGCAGCACGCCTTCAACTGCGCATGCCCCAAACCCAATCCGAGACGCCCCCCAAGACCCACTCGAGGCCAGAGCAGGTGAAAAAAAAGAAGAAAAAGAAAAAAACTCAAGGCTATTGATTCTCGATACGATTTCGAGTTTGACATGGCCACTGTGGCACATGGCTGCAGCAGTCCACGGCAGCGCTCCTGCAATGGCAGCAGCTCTCCGGGCGGACATCATGGCTCCACTCCGGCCATGTACACCACAACAATGCCCAAATATTCACGAACGTCTAGTCAAACGCTGTACGCGACCAGCCAGCAAATCTTTGAGAGTCCTTACAATGGACACGCCTCACTCTACATGCCCGGTGCCGTAGTCGGCGGTGGAGCCGGTGTTGGTGCAGCTGGCACAATTTCACAGCGTCCATTGTCTGCCTCAGCGCTGCCGGAGTCTACGGCGGGTTGTCGCAACTATTGGAGTCAGAGTGCGAGTGGTGGTCATGGGGCACCACACAGCACTGCCTTCTATCACAGCAGTGGAAGGCACTACAACAACTACAACAACAAGCGCAAATCCGCCGTAGAACTGCTGGCAGAATCGAAGCCATTCTATATCAAATCGGAGGCGGTCTTTGAGCGCTTGCAGCAGGCGAGCTATCGGAATGCGAACAGTGGCAAGCGTCGGGAGGAGCGACACTACGATGAGCTAGAGGACAGACGCTACATGAGCCTGACCAGGCAACAGCAGCAGCAACAATACGCCACGCTCCACAATCATCATCAGCAGCAGCAACAGCAGCAGCAGCAACAACAACATCCCCAATCCCATCCGCCACATCATCAGCGTTCACAGCCCAATCCGGGCAATCCTGGACATCGTTCCAATCCCGTTGTCAACAACAATGTGTTGCAACATAAGCTGCGACTGCTGCTCGGCAACGAGGCAGCCAAGGAGCGTTCATTACGCCGTGAATCCAATACGGAATTACTTGCCACAGACTACGGCGATGAGGAGAGCAATGCTCTCAGAATACCGCCACCATTGTATTTACCTTCGCATGCCTTTGGCAGGGAAGCCGCCGCCTACGTTGGCTATCCGGCGGATGTGAACAGTGGCGGAGAGGAGCCGCTGGTCCTCACCGAGAACTATCGACCCATCAGTCCGCCGGCGGAGTATGCCGCCAAGTCGAGTCAGGCGCACAACGAGCGATACAGGTAAGACTCGATTGGATTCGATTGGTCTGGATTAAAGTACACTCAGCAAAATAAGAAACGAGCCACAAAACACATGTTTTTCTTGTTTTTCGAAGTTATTTTTAAACGTTAGAAAGTGAAATTCAGAAAGACTTGTGCCAATTCGACAATACCTTTTTTTCTGAGTGTAGCAACTAAAAATCTTTCCTATTTCCCCTCGATAGATACAACTATCAGCGGTCGTATTCGCACTCGCACGAGGTGGCCAATCCGGACGAGCGTGCTCCGTACACAGCTGGCGGCGACTACAACATCAATAGCCACAAGTCGCTACCGGACTTGCATACCCAGATCAGCAGACATTCGCCGCACAGTGAGATCCTGAGCTGCTGCAGTCGAGGCAATCGTTCGATTAAATCCGCTGGAGAGTCATCCATTAACCGTGATTCCGGTGGCAGTTCCGGTCATTATACGCATCGCAGCGAGCCGTGCTATAAGCGGCAGAGGGAGCCAAATGCGGCCAGTGCCAGCACCATTAAGAACTGTTGCAACCTGGTGGCAGCCACACGACGGGACAGTGGCTCCTCTACGCAGCACAGCGCCAATTCCTACGGCGGACGCAATACGGATTGCATCGATTGCCGTTGCAAACAGGACACGACTGGGGGTCAACACATGTTGACATCACATGGTTATGATAATGGGGCTGGCATTGCCACCGATTATTTGCTTAATTTTATGCCGACGCCGGAGGTGCCGGAGGCATTTCAGGATGATTATACACCGACGCCGCCATCGCCATCGCCACGACTCAAGCAGCAGCAGCAGCAACAGCAGCAGCAGACAACGCCGCGTTACTCGAGCTCATCCAGCCAGCAGTTGCACACCAGCTCCCAGGGCTACACGAGTTTCAATCACTCACAGAGCTCCCTCGTCCAGAGTCCTGGCTCGGCACCATCGATGGACGATATCAGTCCGCCCCCGATACAATTTAAGCGGCAGCGTTGCATTCGTTTCAAGAATCGCAATCGTTTGCCCGCCCAGCCGAGAACCTCACCGATCAACACGGCCGTGGAGTGCCACAGTGGAGCAGGATCAGCGGGTGCATCGGCTGGCTACAAGCGCAATGTGGAGCACGAGAATATCTTCTTTCCCAAGGGATTCTCCGCGGATGGCTATGCGGCTCTAAGTCAATCACAGGAACGGGAGGCACTCAATGCCAGCATCTCGGAGCTGGAGAAGTTCTTTGATCGCCTCGGACTCAACGATGAGGCATTCCATGAGATCTACAGTCAGCCGAGGCGACATCATAATCCCGAAACCGATTCGGATGACTCCAGTACGGTGTTCTTCTCGGATGTGAGCACCGTGGACTCAATGCGACTGCCAGATAGTACGGAGACCCAACCACAGACCACACAACCCTATCGCCCATCCGAGCCACCCTCGATTGTGGAGCGCAATGCGAGAATCATCAAATGGCTGTGCAACTGCAAGAAGGTGCAGTGCGCCTGAGGACAGTGCTGGCAGTGTGCCTGCTGGCAACAGCCAACATTATTCCCATAGTTCTTCTTGTAGAGCACGAGCAACAACTACCTGTCTGGAAAATTCCCAACAAAAAATTGATAACTCATCCTCGTTCAAGTTCAAGTTTTGTCTCTTATCAGAAAACTCCCGCGCAATCCACATAGCCCAAAAATCGATAATTGTTCATACTTCAAGTTCAAGAAACTCCCGAGGAAGATCCCAAGAAAATGTCCGAGGAATCCATAAAATTGATAATTGCTCTTAAGTCAAGTTTTATCTCTCCAGGAAATTTCCGAGCAGACCCCCAAAAAAGCTTCCTCAGTTCCACACGTCCTAAAAATCGATAGTTGCTCTAGTTGAAGTTTTGTCTTTTATCAGAAAACTGCATAGGAATCCACATAACCTAAAAATCGATAGCAGTTCATAGTTGAATATTTGTCTGCTGGCAGGAAAACTCCCGAGTAGACTCCCGAGGAAATCATAAGACCCATAAATCGATAGTTGCTCATAATTCAGTTCACGTGTTGTAACTTGCAAGAAAACTCTCGAGGAATCCACATAAACTGCAAATCGCTAACTGCTCATCGTTACAGTTCAAGTCTCTCACGTCTGCCTCTTGCCAAGAAAGTCCTCAGGAAACTCCCGAGGAAATTTCCGAGGAATCCATAGATCCCAGTAATCGATAGTTGCTTATAGTTCAAGTTCAAGTTTTGCCTCATGAAAGGAAACTCTCGAGGAGGCCCCCGAGGAAACTCGCTCAGTGCCACAGATCCCACAAATCGATAGTTGCTCATAGCTCAAGTTCAATTTCAAGTTGAAGTTCAAAGTTCAACTGTACAACAACAACTACAACTGCAACTGCAACTAAAAGATGAATTGCTGCTTACTTAAATGTATTTATTACTCGTATGTGAATGTTTAGTCCTTTATTTGCTGCAACGTTCCGCAGAGCCAATTAATCAATTGTATAACAACAACAACAAAAATCCGACAACAACAACTAACTATAACTAATCGATTAGCAAATCAAATGCATAATGAATATTGAATAATGAATAATAAAGAATGCTCGTATTATACTCTCATATACACAAATGGTATTATAATATTAGATGAATTATTGTACAATTAGCTCTTGTAACGTACACACACACACACACACACACACACATATACATATATATATATATATCGTAAACTTATTTACGAGTATATGCTATATATACTACATATATAGTTTCCACACATTCACACACACAATTACAAAACGTACTCGTAATGAAAATGAACCTACCTATTTATTTATGTAAGTGTAAAACGGTTTGCATGACAAATAAATATTTATGATTATCAAGAACAAAAAAACCACAAAAAAAAAAACAATAATCGAAAAAAAAAAGCATTTCGTGTATGTTTTGCGGTGTTTACTTAGCTTTTTGAAGATTGAGCTTAAGAAATAGACGCCTACTTTATAAAACCATTCTGAAACAACTCTGGAGTTATTTAAAGATTCCGCAATTCCAAATCTCATAACTCTGAATTCAAGTGCCCATAATTAATCCCAAGCAAATCTATTCATTATGAAGGTATTATGTTGAAAGTGGATGAAATCAATTAATCAATGCCGGATACCTTAATAGGGTTTTCAGTCATCCTAACGCCCTACTCAATCTTCTACCCATAACCACTAATAATCTCAAAAGACCTCATCCTCTGGATCTCGATTTTAGATAAAATCAGCGAATTAAAATCAGAATCAGCATAGGAATCGGCAACAGTATTTACGTAGCTGTTAATTTTGACTCTAAAAAATGTAAAATTTATCTCAGATAAATAATAAAAAGTATAATAAATAATTAAAGAAATGATTATTTTATGTATATACAAAATTCAATATATGTATGTGTATATAAATATAAATGCATTGTTCAGTGACCTATTTGGGAGTATAATGCAACAGCTGTGTGCCCAAAGCGACTGCCTCCGTTGTTGTAAGCTATAAAAGCTAAAGCCTGAAAGATAGGTCAGTTCAGTATCAGATCAGAATCGAAACTCGTCGAAAACTTTTGATATGCAAACATTGCTCATTGTGACTGCTGTTGGCCTTGGCCTGTTGTTTAGCCTGGTTAGTCGTTAAACTGTTTCAATAATAAAATACTTACTCTATTTTGTGTGTTTTCAGGCATTGGCCACAAGTGTAAGTATGCCTAACTAAGTTGGCCTAAGCCACTTTAATTTGTGCTTGTAGGAAGACGCGCCTAAGCCAGGTCCAGTTAAACCACCAGGAGATGGCACCATCTTCGAAGCATGTCCTCGACCCCCTGCACAGAGCATACGAGTAAGTCCGGAACAAATATGTCTCTAAATTTTAGTGAGTCTTTATACTTTTGGCGGCAAGAGTAGCTCAGACTATTATTAAGCATGTTCATTTCTAACATTTGCAATTATGGTTTGTTAAAAAATATTTCTGAATATCAGGCTGAATTCCTCAAAATTCAGAAACAATATGGCTAATTTCCAACGTGTTGTCTTCTATGTGTGTAGCTGGATTGGAAATATTGGTATTCTTAGACTCATTTTACATAGCATATAAATTCATATTATTAATATGGAAAATGTTACGATTTTAGGGGACAATTTAGTTAAACTCTAATATAAAAGTTGAACTGGTAAGTTTCATTAATTGTTGCTATATTTCATTAAAAATTATTCCATTATGCCATTGCAGTGCCTGCAAGAGTGGGCGTGTCAGCAAGTAATACGCTTGGATCTGCGGTAAGTGGTGCTAAGAAGTACAACTTAAATTGTGCTCCTCTCATGACATTACTTTCACACAGCTGTCTGCTGAACCTCAATGGCAATAATTTACTGGGGAATCTGGTGAGCATACCCGGCATAGGTGGCGGTGGCAACGGTGGCATTCTCGGCGGACTGCTGGGCGGATAGAGACAGGAGAGACAGAAAGAGAGAGAGAGAGAGAGAGAGAGAGACAGAGAGGGAGAGAGGAGAAGAGAATGGGAGGTGATAATCCCTGGTAAAAATGTATGCACATTAAGTCAATAAAAAAACATATGCTAAAACTAAAGCTAAGCCAATCGAATTGCATTTTGGCAATTGGGAAGCTGGTGTTAATGGCCAGCCAATAATAATAATAATAATAATAATACTGCGACGATGAGGACGATGAGTACCTATTGGCCATTGGTATCGATAATCGTTCACATAACCGTTAACTCAATTATTGTTTGAGCGCTCGTTTTGACCATCGGTGCAATTAAGTGGCCAATTTTCAAATTAGCCAGCAATTTATACGAGTATCAGCACTTTGTCGAGCAAAAAAAAACACACACAGACAGAAACAGACAGAAAACGATTCTCACCTTTAATGCGGTCAGCAGAGGAGGAGGGAGAGAGAGGGACGGAGTGTGTGTGTGTGAGAGAGAGAGAGCAGATATTAAAGCCTGGCAAAACTTGTAGAGCATTCGAACAAAGTCGCAAATCATTGAAGCATATGCAATTATTCATTTTGAGGTTGAATGCGCTCGAACGCACTCAAAGATACAGCTTGGCTCGGGATGCTACTGCTCTTCCTCCTGCTCCAGCTCCTGCTGCTCCTGCTCCTGCTCCTGCTCCTCGAGCTGCTCCTCCAGCAGCCCCATTATCTGTTGAGAGGCAAGCAAATTTAAATTCAGCAGCAGTTCTTAAACGCTAGCAACCATAAAAATCGCTTTTACTACGCATAGTTTTTTTCCTCAGCTTCCCTTTTGCTGCTTGCGTTTTTCCTGATGCTTTTTTTTTGTATACCCTGTAGCCACTAAAAATGGCTAAGAAGGGTTAATGGATTTTATATATATATATTCTTGATCCGACCTAGAAAAAAATTTGGCATGTAAGTTCTCGTTTAATTTTTAAAGGCAGATGCTTCTTAATGATATATTATATACCTCGACATTTTATTGATTAACTGCGTCACTTTTAAAAATCGAATAAGAAACACCCAAGTTATGGTCAACAACCTATTCTCATATTGATCTCAGCAGGCGCAAGAAACTCCCGTAGCATTTCTCGTAACAGGAGATGGAAATGCAAATGGAAATGTGTTGATTTGTGAACTGATACATTTTCAACTGCGGCCTACAGGGTATCTCGCAGTCGAGTACACTTACGTCCACAGCATTCTCGCTTGTTTTATTGTGTTTTGTTTTTCTTCCCCTTTTTAATGCCCACTTGATTGCAGTCGTTTCGCAAAGTTCTCCGCTCAACATTTTGGCTGATTTCGTTTTTGGCCAGTTAGCCCCCCTCCCCGCAACACCTCGCCACCATTACTCCTACCCCTCACTCCCTCCTGCACACATCTTGACTGTTTTTAGCTTAATCCGTCAGTTGCATCGACAGCTCAATATAGTCTGATGGTAGCTTCAATTTCCTTTCGCCCTTTTATAATTAACTTTATGTGTATGTATTTAGTTTTATTGCTCGTTAGACAGACACACACACACACACACACACACACAGAGCCGCAATGAAACAACAATTTGTGGCAACGTGTGTAGGCCATTTTGGAATTGCCATTGCCATTGCCATTGGGCCATTTCCCATTTTCCCAGCCGTCGCCTTATATTAATTACAAAACGTTTGCGGAGGCTAGAGAGAAAGAGAGATAGACAGAGAGAAGGAGATGAAGTCTGCGAAGGAGCCAGCGCTGAAGTTCCTGTCTCACTAATGGCCCACAACAAGTAAATCACACGCAAAGCTCTAAGGCGATTTGGCCAACGAGTTGCCAAAAAAAAGAAGAAACCGTTTGTAGAAACAGTTAACGAGCTGCCCAACAGCCCACTTAAATAAATAAGATATAAAACAATATGAAAAATATAAATTTATATATTGAAAAAAAAACACAAGTTTTCGTTTAAAAAATTCTTGGGCATTTTATTTGTTATACATCCTTTGCTTTGATGGTATCAAAACTGGCTATATCCGATTCGGTGGAGCTCTTTGCCGTCTCAGTTGTGCTTGGGGATTCCGTGATGAGGTTCTGTCAAATTTTTTAACTCGAGAATTACACTCATAAAAAAAACACCCTTCATCTCAGTAAATCGCCTTACCTTTGTGTCGACATTGAATAAATAAATAGATATAGTTCGGCTCTGATATGCCAGTGAATTTCGTTACTATTTTCTGAATTATAGTTTTATGAGCGATTTACTAAATTTTAGGGCGATTTCATTTTGCTGAGTGAAGGCCGTGGATCTTGTTGTTTTTGTCTTACCTCGGCCTTTAACTGCTGGGATTGGGAATCGTTCTCCTCGTTGAATGCCTCCGCCAGGCCGGGATGTATTTGGCTGAGGGCCTCATTGCCGTGGCGAATGTAGACTGGAACATGACCTTTGCGTGGCTCCAGCTCCTGGTAGGGTGCAGCTGAAATAAAATTTAATTACAAGCAACATTAAATCATTGCCAAAGTCAGCTCTTTGCTCTTATCGGGCGATGTTGGCGCTAATCTTGTATGACATACACCCGGAAACCTTGAATCACGACGTAATTATGACTAACGAGCTAAGAGCCAAGAGCCAAGAGCTCCAAGCTTCTGGCTTTTTTTTTATTTTTATAGAAATTAAAAAACCTGTTTCAACAAACACACAATCACACACACACGCACACCACGCCAACAACAGATGTGCAAGTAAAATACAAATAAATATTTATTTAATATTTTTTATTTATATTTAATTTAAGCGATTACTCACCTTTAACTAATATGCATAAGCTTAGCATAATTAGACCAATTAAAGTAGGCCAAACAGACTTGAACATACTCTGGCTGGATTTTGAGCAACACGACTGTAGAGTGTAGAATTCACGTTGAAGACTGAGATCTTCCAGCAACAGTGCTGAATTCTTATAACGCTGATTTGTTGCTCAATTTAAAGCAACTCTTTCTTTGCTGCTGCTGCTCTTCTCTCCACTCGCCACTCTCCATTGTCGTAGTCTCCTTTCCACTCTACACTCATCATCAAACAGCTTGAGCAACAAATAAACTTTTGCTTGGCAAATTACTCATGGCTAGCTGATGCTGATGTTGATGATGATGATTTTGATGCTGATGCTGATGCTGACGATGGCTTGTAATGAAGCTGTCGGCAGTGCCAGAAACTTTTCCACACTCACCAAAAAAATCGCTATACTTTCGGTGGCCTTAAAAAAAACCATGGTTCGCATTTCTAAATTTTAGATTGGATTTTTCTAAAATCATTTTCTTTGTTATCTATGTGTGGTGTACATTGAAAAGAATTTTTCGAAAAACTTTCTGTTTTTAGAGCGATTTACTAAAACGTAGGTCTTTTTTTTCTGAGTGCAGCACTGGTTGCGGGGGCTTGAAGATGGTCGTATAGGGGTGTGGGAGGGGGAGGGGAAAGGGAGTATTAAAAGCTTCTCTGCTTCAGCTTAAACTTCTGCTTTGAGCAACGCACAATTGGAGTTGGAGTCGAGTTGGAGACTTTGGCACTTGTTGGCCTGCGGCATTTACTCAACTCCAAAACTCTGTGGCCATAAAGCAGTTGCCGCCGCTTCTTCTTCAGCATTCAAACGTTTGTTTTCAGCTTCCATTTTTTATTTCCTTTTATTTATTTTTTTAAACTTTTTTGTTTCAAATTAATTGGGTCGTTAGAGAAGCCATTTGCGCGGGTTCCTCGCTTTCTGTGTGTGTTTGTTATTGTTTTTCCTTATTTTTGCATGCATTGCTCTCCTTTGAATTGTTTGGCCACTTTCGTTTATATTTTTTTTGGAAATTTGCCAATAAAACTATTATTAATTTAACAGCTGGGTTCAAGGTGTGTCGCAGCATTCTTGCTTGTTTTATTCTTGTGGATCCATTTAACTAATTTACAAAAAGAAAACTTTTATCAATAGTATTAATTTCTTTAACTTAAATTATTGCTGTATGTATAAAATCCGAATTTATTGGTCTTTTTAATTCGTAGCGGCCTCAGAATCTTCTCTGTGACTCTAGTAAAGTGGTTCTGGTTCGTGCCTCTGGCAGTTTCCAAATGAACGGAAAGAAGAAGTATTGGTCCATAGTATTATGCTGAAGGTGATCCATGGTCTTGTGCTGGAGGTGGTCCAGAGTTTTGTGGAGGCAGCTGCCCATAGCTCTGTAACGGTGCCATACAACTCTGGGGGGATATCCTGGCTTTGGATATCCTTGTTGTGGATATCCTGGCTATGAGATGGGTAACCATGCTACAAATAGTCTTGTGATGGGTGGTTCTGTGATGATTAAGCTGGCATTGGTGGCACTGGTTCCATATATTTTCCCTGCCCTGCCCTGCCCTTTCATCTACCGATGACAAGTGTCAGATAATGGTAACTAAAATTTATATTTGATACTTTTCGACTGGTTGGCGAGCTTGGCGAGATGGCAGACCTGAGACCTGATAGCCATTCTCAAATTCTCAAATTGTGGATAACAGAACTTATCAAGATGTACGTATAGATTAGCCAAGTCCTCAAGAGCATATTAATTGATATGTAAAGTATCGATGATCGATTTGGTGAATGTACATTTAGCTGAATCTTAAGCTGTTTTCAGATTAAAAATGGATAGTTTGGGTATAATTGTTTTCTGCAATTGTGTGTAACGGAAGGCAGAAGGAAGCATCTCCTAAATATACAAGTAAATATACATTTTCTTGCTCAGGATCGAAAGCCAAGTTGATAGAGTCATGTCCCTCTCTCTGTCCGCAAATATAATAGAGAACACAGACTATAAGAACTAGAGACTTCCTATACCCCATGCAGATCCAATTATTTTTCATTTTATCGAGATGTTTGTTTCTCTGCTGGGAATGGGAATGTTTTAAAATACTATTATTTTCCAAGGAATATAACCACCCATCATATCTAATTTTTAGAAATATTATTTAGCCGCAGAGAAAACTCAGAGGACTTCACCAGTATTCCACTACTATTATAATGATACATTTAGTTAATAACTTAATACAAATAAATATATAAATCATCAATTCAAGGTGTTTAATTTAGTTTGTATAGCTATGCCATCTTTTAATGTTTACTTATTGAAGGTAAGTTTTGAATGATTGTGCTTAAATAAGATGTTCATAATATTTCAACTATATTTTGTTCTTCTTTATATTTTCAAAAACATATGGAGTCACTGCTATTGCTCGAGTTATATTTCAGTGTGCACAATTTTTAAAAGAAAGAGAAATTCGGAATTGAAAAAATATAATATATTTAACTGGGTTCAGGGTATATTGTAGTGCAGCTCACCCGACTACAGATTTTTTTTTATATTTCTTGTCTTTTGTTTTTTTTTCAACTTTTTTGTTTCAAATTAATTGGGTCGTTAGGGAAGGCATTTGCGCGGGTTCCTCCGCTTTTTGTATGTTTGTTTTCTTTTTTCCTTCTTTTTTTCTCCATTCTTTGCTCTCTGTTGAATTGTTTGCCCACTTTCGATTTTGTGTTTGTTGTTGTTGTGTTGAATGTATTCAAATCGAGAAAATTGCTGACATCTGTAGAGCATGAATACCGCGAACTCTGTGCACCCTGTGCAAACTGACAAGCGGACTGATGGTGGGTAAGGTGAGAGGAGGGGGAGTGGGAGTGGGAGGTGTAGGGGTAAGTTGGATGGGTGTGGTGACTGTTGGGCTTGTTTGCCTACTTCGATTGTTCCGTTGAACAGCGCGTCCTTGATACAATTCCATTTAGATGTTGAACAATACTGCACTCAGAAAAAAATCTGCCTACATTTTAGGAAAATAATATATAACGTTTATCTTGCTTTCAGAAATAATTTATAAATTTTAGAAAACATTTATCCAAAATTCAGAAAGGCTTGACTTACTTCCACAATCTTAAAAATATGGCGAATATTTCATTTTGTAGAGTTTAGCTGTCGTCTTAGAGGACGAGCAGCTGAAGGAAATGTCTCTCTGGTTCCGATTCCGTATGAAATCGTTAGTTTTTTCCAATTAAATTTGTATGAGTTACTTATAAGCTATGTAAAATGTTTGTATATGTGAAGTTAAAAAAAATGAATTTTCAAGAATAATATACGTAACAGAAACTCTTCTTTGGTGTAACAAAAAACCAAACACACTAAAAATTTGACATCTTTGACGTTTGGCCAAAAGTATGGCGTTCTACCAGTTCGATTTTTTATGAGTGTACTCTGCACATATGTGTGTGTGTGTGTGTGTATGTATATGCATGCAGGCACAAGTGGCATGTAAGGGCGCAAAGATTTCAAATCAAATTGTTGAGCAAATATTCAACAGAGTAAATATGTTTATGCCGAATCAAGCAATTTCACTTAAACACACTCAAACTCAATACTTAATACTCAACACTCAACGAAACATTTTCGATTATGTCAGTTAAATACGAGTATGAATGTTTAAGTGCTGACATCAGATTGTTGACTTGTAGGGCGAAAGATCTTATTTTTTTGGGAATTACTAGATAATGTAAAGATAATAAAGGATTATTTACTAGCCCACTGCTGGATAAGGCACTTTTAAAATATGAGGTGATATAAGGCATTACTTACCTCCACTTGCATCCCCTTATAAAGCACTCCTTATTCCCAAAAAAAAATTTAAACATTTTTTTTTTTGTTTCTCTGTCGTTTATTTAATATGTATTTATGTATTTTTATGTATAGTATGTATGTTTATTTCCGAGGCTCTAAAAATAGTTACATGGCTGCACTAATTGTGTGTGTAGGTGTAGCTATTAATAAGTAACTAGATCTAATTAATATTATGTTGTTGTTGTTCTTGTTACATTTTCGCATTTTTAATGATTTGCTTTTTTATATTATATATACTCGTCTGAATGTTATGCATCGTATGTATGTATGTTTATGTATTTTTATGTATGTATGTATATATTTGTAGTATGTATCGTTATAATACCGTTAGGGATGCCGTGTTTTAATTCGAGTATTTTTGGTTTAGTTTTGTTTTAGTTTAAGAAATGGATAAGCATTTGATTTGTTTGTTCTTTGGAAATATAATAGATTATACTCTTATACTCTCTACATATTTTTGCCAAGTGTATGTATGTATGTAATCTCTGAATGTATTTGTATTTTGTATTTTGTATATGTAATTGTATACGAGTATGTACGATTTATATCAAAGAACGATCCATTGTTATTGGCGTATATGTATATATAGTAGACTGGAAATTGGGAATTGTTCAAATTTCGAGTCATTCTAGATATTGAGTATTACAATTGTTTTTACTTTGTTTTACTTTCATTTTACTTTGTGTTATTTTTGTTTTTTTTTTTTTTTATATCGTCTACAAAAGCTGAAAAACTATTTATTTAATTGGCTGCTTGCTCATATTCCCATATTTGTAGAGGAAAACATTTTCTAACTAAAGATTTTTGTTGGAACAAGAACAAATGCTAAGTAATTAAGAATTGAATTGTGGACCTATAGTTGGAATATAATTAATTAGTATTAGTAACAAAATACTAGCATTCTCATAATTTGTAGGGCTGTTTAACTTGATAGTTAATTAATTAGTTAGTTAGTAGTATTAGTAGTGTTGGTAAGTGTAGGTATGTAAGTACTTCTATGGTTCTGGTAAGCATGTATAAATAATCATATAGTATTATATATTTCTATATGTATGTTTGTTTGTTTGTTTGTATGTGTGGTGTATATATTTGAATGAAGAGTTTACAATATATTGCAAATTTAAATGTATATATAACTGTTCAAGTCTTTTTGCATCTCTAATATATGAATATATAAATTAATATTATTACGTTATGTTTTTTTTGGTTTGATTTTTTTTGTTTTTTTTTTTTTGTTTTTATAATTTTATAAAATATCTCATTTGTATATAATAATAATAATTAAAATTTATTTTGGTGTCATTGAACTCTTGCTCTCGATCAAAGCAGAAATCTGCATGGATGTGTTGCGGGGGGGAATGGGTTGGTATATAAGGTTTTAATATTAACTTGTCCTTCTAAAAACAAAGCATCTGTGTAAAAATATTTTGTTTGCATTTTTTTCATTTTTTTTTTTAAGTGTATAAATAAACCTAACTTGTAAATGAATCAATTAAACGCTTGCCTCAATTCACAATATACATATATATTATAATATATATATTTATATATATGTATATGTGTGTTTGTTTGTAATTATTTTGTTGTTGTTATATATATATATATATAATATATATATATGCATGTATATATTTATATGTATGTATGTATATATATTTTGAATGTAAAATTGCAAATCACATAATTGTTACCACTACTGTTCAATGGAATTTATTTATATTTATTTTTTTTTTGTATTTTTTTGTGGTTTTCTTTTCTTTACTTGTTGTTTCAGAATAAAAACTACGCGTAAAATAAATACATGTTTTGGTGTATATATATTATATATACTTTCGATAGAGTTAATATAATTTAATTTAAAACTATGTCACTTACTTTTGGAATTGCTTTTAGTTGTCATTTTTGTTTTACAAGTGCTTCATCTACTTCTGCTTCCCCTCCACTTTTGTCTCCTCCCAAACTTAGAGATAAACCTCGCAAATGTATTTAAGATATATATTTATATATATTCAATATTCATCAGACATTTGTGTGGCTTAGAAAACTTTGACAGGCCAAAGTTGATTTTCCATTTGGGAATTTTTTTGTTTTCTGTGTTTTTTTTTTTTTTTTTTGTTGTATAAAATTATGTTATAATCTGTATTAATTATGTACATAATTTAAATCTAGTAATAAAATAACTATGTTGCAAATTGTATTTTTGTTTCATATGAGAATGTGAGTTATGTACTTTTTTTATGTTATATCTTAATTGAATTTTGCGTATGCTTTGTTTATATATATATATATATATATATATATATATATAATTTTTATTTTTTATTTTTTAATTTGAATGCATTTATGTTTAAGTATTGTCCTTGTGATATGTTTCTAAATTGATTCTCATTAATATAAATCTTTTCTAAGTAATTGAAATAGTTTTTTTTGTTTTGTTTTGTTTATCGAGTTAGAGCATATTATGGAAGTTATTCATTCTTAAATCTTCGGTTTGCGAATATAAAGTTTTCTGTTTGTTTTTTAAAATTGTGAGTATTATCGATTTCTTTGCTTGATGCCATGTTTTATTTTGTAAGTATAGTGTAAGTGTGTGTATGTGTAAATATTCAAAAGACTAAGAGCGAGAGAGAGAGAGAGAGAGATAGATAGATAGATAGATAGTAATAGTAGTAGTTACAGGAAGTGCTAAAAAGTCCACTAGTTATTTTTAAGTTTTGCTAAGTTACGAAATGAGCTGTTTTTCATCATTTTACCTAAGTAATATCTATGAGTTATTTGCGAATTTCCCATGAATTGCATGTCCTACTGGGAACTAGATGTGGAAGGGTTTCCATATATATATATATATATATATATACCACGATATATATATCGTATATCGTAAATATCTAAAATGGGTAAATATTTTTTACCGCTCACAAAAAAAAAACATGCAAATTGGTTCTGCTCGCTATAGTACTCATATTATTCATATATATATATATATATATAAATTGCTTCATTTGTATATATGCTTTTTTCGGTGTATATATATATACATATATATATATATATATATATATATATATATATATATATATATAGAATTTCTACTTATGTTCCATAATATTCGTTGTGTCAGATTTTTACTATAAGTTACCATTTTTTTGGATTCCATTTTAAACCTTTTGTTTTAAGTTGTTTCTTGTTGCTTTTGTTTCCATTGCTATTCATTCAATAAAAATGCCCGTGGTAAAGTTCGGATGGAAATCATAATAATAATAATAATAATCAGATAATATATGATGTATATATGTAGTATAACTGCTATTGAGATCTATGGCATCATCATCATTTTCTTTGATCCTAAAATTCCATTGCTCAAAATGACTACACTTTATGTAAGCTGCTAGTTGACTTGATTTCTTTTTTCTTTTTTTTTTTAATTTGTTAAGGGTGCTCGAGTATTGCTTATAGGTTTTTTCTTTGTTTGTATTTTTTAAGTGTAAGTTTTTTATTTTTTATTTATTATTTATTTAGGCAACGACAATATCCTGACTATTCTCATCGCTGTCCAGCTCATCGTCCAGCAGCTGCTGATCCTGCTCCTGATCCTGCTCCTCCTCCTGCTCCTCCTCGTCCTCTTCATCCTCCTCCTCGTTGTTGTCATCCTTGCTGCTGGGAATGGCGCCCACATCCCTAAGGCAAGCAGACTCCAAATGTTTATTGAGATACGATTTGAGGGCAAAAGTTTTGTTGCAACGATGACACTTGAAATTCTTATCCCCCGAATGGGTCTGCATGTGGGCCCTTAAATTGGAGCGATCAGCAAAAGCCTTGCCACAATGGACACAAGCGTAGGGCTTCTCGCCGGTATGCGAGCGCAGATGCCCCTGCAGCAGCCAGGGGCGGGAGAATAACTTGCCACATATTTCGCAGCTGTGCGAAAGTTTGTGCGTCAACAGATGCATGGCCAAAGCGGGCATGGAAACATAGGCCTTGCCACAACTGATGCACTTCTTGGCCGATTGGGAGTCCAGTGAGCGATGCGTCTGTTTGTGGCGCGACAAATTGCTGGATGTGGCATATTGCTTGCCACACTCGGAGCACTTGTAGCAGCCGCGCTTGCGCTTCGCATAATTCTCGCCAACAGTAGCAGCAACTGTTGCCCCACTGGCAACTGCCTCGCTGTTGCACTTGCCTCTCGACTGCTGCTGTTGCTGCTGCTGCTGCTCTTTGTTGTTATCCTTGCTGGCTGCCGCTTTGCTGGCCTTGGTGCGGCCATCGAGCATGTTAAGGCAGAGCTTCAAGCTGGAGGCACGTTGCTGCTGCTGCTGCTGTTGTAGCAACTGCGGCGACTGCTTGTGCCAGTGCAACTGCCCCGACTCAGAGGAGGAGGATATATCGATGTCCACATCGGAACTGTGATCGGAATTGGGCGGCGTCAACGGCGAACAATTTGTGTTATTGTTATTGTTATGATTATTGTTATTATTGCTATGCTCCTGTGTGGCATGTGGCAACAAATCGTAAGAGGTGCTGCCAATAAATCTGATGTTGCCACCACTGCCAGTGGATTTTGCTTGACTGCTGTTGCATATTTCTTGCATGCTGCTACCGCTGGACAATTGTTGCTGCTGTTGCAGCTGCAACTGTTTCGTGCTCAACTCTTGCCTCATTATTGTCACCACACAGGGTGGTATCAACGGTGGCAAGCTCTGCGAGAGCGAGAGCAGATCGTGTGCCGCTTCCGTCTCCTCAACGCTGCGTCCGCGATAAATGGCCACCTGTTGCTGCTCACGTTCCACTTGCAGTTCCCTTGCTCTCTCACGTTCCACTTCCAGTTCTCTTTCCCGTTCCCGTTCCCGTTCCCTTTCCCGATCCCTTTCTCTTTCTCTTTCCCGTTCCCTTTCGCGCTCACGCTTTATGGCCATTGGCTGGGGCTGGCGAGGGGCGCCGTTTGCACTTGCGGGCGGAGCATAGAAAATCACCTTGCCATCCTCGGCGGGGGCGCGACCAAAGGCCACTGGACGGCGCATCGATACTGTAAGTTTCAAATTTCCATTATTTAAATAATAATTCTTATTATATAAAAGAAAAGCAAAAAAATAAAAAATAGGAAACAAAAGCTATATTTTTGCTTCTCTGCCTCACTAACAATCTAGAGGCATTTCCATGCAGTCGCCCATTGCGGTATTCGTTTAAAAATCTCAATTAACTGTTTGTATTTTAGTTATTATTATTAATTTATTATTGCACGTAAAAGCTCTTGCAGTGTTGATGCCAGTATGAAAGTGCTGCCAAATCTATCAAAAATGTTTAGAGGATGATTAGTGTGACCCTGTCTGTGCTGGGGCTAGTGTCACCCTAACTTTTTAAGCCACAGATGCTGGTTTTATTATTATAATTTACAGTACACTGCAGACAGAATGGGTAGAAATAATGAGAGAGTTGCTTTTCATTCCATGCAAAAAAAGGACGCTCGTTCAGTGAGTGGATTGTACCGAGCGTGGCTTGTGGAACGTAAGAGCGTGGCTGGGAATTGAGATTGGCATCCACTGCGGAGAGAAACTTTTGATCCCCTGCATGGAGTGCATAGTGTGGGTGTGAATTGATATTGGCATCTACTGTAGAGAGAAGCTTCTGATACCGTTCGTTGAGTGTATATGCCGGCTTAAAGGGACGCGCGCTCAGCGAGTGGATTTAGTTTGTCTGTGTTTGCCTTGCTAAAATGTCGATTAATCCGCGCGTCAGCAGTTTTTTTTACTAAGATCTAAATGGGTCACCTGATATAAGTAATTTTCTTCTACTATAATTGCATTTTAACTGAAAAATTAAGTATTGCTTTCTTTATTATAGATAATAAACTATACTTAAAAGTGTACCTTAAAATATCTGAAAAATACTTTGCTCTCTTTTCTTTTGTTATAGATAATAAATTTAAACTAAAATTATAATTATTTTAATAAATTAAGAACATTGTTTTCATTAATATTTAAAATTTGATTTCGAATAATTTTTTCTTAACGATCTGGCAGCGCTGCAGCTGACGCCATTATTTCAATGTTGAGCTGACCTGTTACATTTCCTGTGCCTCGCAATCGATAAGGTTTGCGACTACAAGTAAAGTGTACCTCTCCCCCTCACGCTTCCCCACCACCCAAACCACAACCCCCTTTATTTTTTCTTGCCTTTTTCTTTTTCGTTCTAGTTTCCCATTTGTGTCCCCTTCCCACCCCCTGCGACTACCCTTCCGACAATGACGCGTGTTGGTTTTCGTGTTTGCATTCACTTCTCCTTCGCCTTTTGTCAAGAGCAACAAGCAGCGAAATCAACAACAACAACAACATCGACATCGACAAGAAGGCAAACATGAAAAATGCCAACATACGCTAAAAAGATTAGCTAACGGCGACAATGTCAAACACGCGCACAACCAAAGAAGAAGGCCGAGTGGGGAGGGCATGAGGGCACCCAATACACTCACCAAAAAAGGGTCTAAGCACTAGAAAAATCGTTCCTGTTTCTAGCATTTTTTTTTTCTAAATATTAGCTAGTTAAAAACTTGCCATAAATCGACCAACCCCATAAAATGCGACTTTTTCTATACTTTTGGAAATATTTCCTCTAAAATGTATGGTACTTCTTTTTCCCCGAGTGTAGCCACAGCCAAAGTGGAGCCGGAATGGTTGGTTGGCCATTAAAGGCGGACAACGGACAAGAGAGAGCGGACAGCGGACATGGGGCTACTAAAAATAAATACAAGTACAAGACGAGTACACAATTCGCCAGCCACCTGTTCACATTGTTGTGACGCAACTCAAGCAGAAGCAGGGAATGGCTAAGGAGAACGGGAAGGGAATAAGTAGGGAAAAGGAGAAGTGGAAGGTCTTCCTTCAACAGGGCAACCCTAAAGCGAAAATGGAAAATGAGTTTAACTGTTGCACTTACCTGCGGCTGTTGATACGGGTTTGCTTGTTGCTCCTCCTGCAGCTGCTCCTGTTGCTCCTCCTCCTCCAACTCCAGCTCCTGTTGCAGTTATAGCTCCTGTTGCTCCTGCTCCTGCTCCCATTTCTGTTCCGGTTGCGCCCAGTCGTCTTTGTTTCTCCTGCTTGGAGTTCATTTGGACCAGCGACTGTGCCGCCGACCATTCCAAATGCTCGTCCGGCGGATTATTATCATCCTCCGTCTCCGCCTCAGCCTCCGACTCCGGCACAACCTCATTTCCCAGCTCGATTAATTCACGCTTGAGGGCAACTCTGGTGCCTCGTTTGCCGTTAGATCTGAAGCTCAGCTTAGTGTTGTTATTATTATTATTGTTGTTATTGGCATTGCGCAACACTGCCAGCTTCTCAGTTGGCCTCAGTTTTCGTAGCTGTTGCTGCGGCAGCAGCTGCTGATGTCCGTTTGTCTTCGGCTTCGTTCTCGGCTTTGACTTCGGTTTGGGACGTCGCCAACTTTGTATTTCGGCAGCAACACTGGCATATTTCTTGCTCGCATACGCAATCGTTTGTATCTTGTTGCGATTGGGCAGCATAAAGTCCACGGACATTGTGTCGCCAGTTTTATAAAAATCCTATACACTTACTATATATTGCTTCTAGATATAATATATATATATATACATGTATATATATATGTATAATTTAATATAATACCCTTTGGGTTGCTTTTGCTTATGTTTTATATTTTATATTTTGTATTTTGTGTTTAATTTATTTACTATTTAGATATAGCCACAACCTTCTTTCACATCGACGCATCCGAGTCGAGTTTATCTGCAGTAAAATGCTCTTTGACTCTTTGATGAGCTGCCTTGAGAGTAGCGCTATTTTTATCGGTTCAACTTTTCGATTTCTAGTACCAAACCAGCTACAGCTTCGGCTGCATCTGGTTTCTTGTGCATCCTTGAATTGGTTCGGGTTCTTGGTTCTTGATCTGGCTCTGGCTCTCGTGCACTGGCCCCAGCGCACCTGCTGCTTCTATAACATCGGCAGCTGTTGATTCTATATATATATATATGTATTTTTATCACCTTATTTTTGTCTGCTTGCCGCAATCACTTTAAGGTATTGCTTTCGTTGTTGTTGTTGTTTTTGATGTATACTTTAAAGATCGAAAATTAAATTTGTTAGACTTGCATATTACACTTTGAAGAATTATCGGTATCAAACTACAAGCTACAAACTAAAACTTTGTCTAAGAAGATTAATAAATTAATTAAGTGAATGCCTTAATTGATTTTTTACTGGGCTTATTTATTGCTTTTCTTTTCAACTTTTCCACATTTATTTTTGATCACTGCTGAAAAAGTTTCTAATGCGATTAGGATTTATTTAAGACTATATGTATATATATATATATAGTATTGTCTTTTCATTAACTTTTGATATTTGTTTTTTATTAGTGCTGCAGAGTTCTCTAGTGCGATTAGGATTTATATATTTATATATATATATATATACATATATATATATATATATATTAAGTATATATGAATAATGTTTGTTTTTGTTATACTTTTCCACATTTATTGTTGCATAATTTAAATAAACAAAATCGCGCTCAAATTTCACTTGTTTTTCACACAACTTAAATAGAGTAAGGCAAAAATAAGGCTCCCACCCACAAGCAAGGCCGCCCCAAGCGGTACACATTATCGAGACGGCACTGTTTTGTGCCGTATACATATACAGATACATATACATATAAATATGCATATACATATATATGTATATATTATGTTTATGCTTTTTTATTGCAACATTTCGCATCAGTTTATTTAATATACCGAAAGTGGAAGTTTTGAGTGTGAATAAATGTAAGGTGGGCTGTTGGGTAGGGGTAGCAGGTAGCCGGAGGGTAGAGGGTAGAGGGGTAGTCAGTGGTCTTCCAATGGAAAGCGCGCACAAACACGAAGCATGAAACTATCTATCCCTATCCCACTTTTTAAAATGGCGCATACTCGATGGAACTCGCTGGCTTTGTTTAGGAAATGCAGACGACTTCAAATGCCAAAATTTGACATTACTTTTTCACTTTTGCACAACTTCACATAATATGTATATATTTAATACATATTCTAGATATATTTTAACGCACTTTTAGTTGATTTTCTCTGGTGTTGTCTAAAATGGTAGCAAGAAAATGCGAAAAATTAATTTTCTTTCGTTGTTCGCTGTGTTTCAGCAACAACAACTTGTTTCACTCTGCACTTGTCGAATGTTTTCCTCAATTGAATTTCGAGCAGCGCAAGTAGAAAGAGAAAGAGAGAAAGAGAGAGAGAGCAACGAGTGAGAGAGTGAGAGTAACGAGTAAGAAAGAGAGAGCGAGTGAGAGAGCGATGAGCGACGAGCGATTAACAAGTGACGAGTGCGGCAAATACATGCAACAAATAGTAGTCAACTGTTGGTTGCCTTTGCCTACCTCACTGTGCTTGCCACTCGCCACACTTGCCATGCCACGACATTACCCTCCTCTTCCTCCTCCTCACAGCCCTACCCTTCCTTCCACCCCCTTGCAGCAGCCCGTTGCACATAAACAATGCGAGAATTTATTGCATACTTTGCTGCTGCTGCAACGAGTGTTTCCCGTTAGTGCTGCTGCTGTTGCTGGTACACATACACACACAAAAATAAGCACTTGTATACACACACACACGCACACACACATATATATATATATATGTGCGGCACTTTGTTGCATACGTCACATGCAACGTTGCCGCAGTTGCAGCAACAACTCATGCATAAATTGTGTTTTCATTTAGTTTTTCCTTGTTTATTGTTGATAGAATTTTGATTTTTTGCATTCTTCTTTATCTGCTTGTTGGTTTCTTATTTTTCAGCTTGCTCATTTTGATGCCTGCTTTTGGCATTTGTTGTTGCACATAATTTTATTTAGGTTTTTTTTTATAATTTATAAATTTAATAATATTTTTTTCTTTTACAGCTTGCTTCGTTTTCCTTTTTATCTAATTTATTTTGATCTTTTTCTGATTGCTGCTTTTTGGTTGCCTTTTGACATTAATTGTTGCACTTTATTTATTTGTTGTTTCTTTTTTTTCATTTATATATTTAGTAATTGAATAATTTATTCTTCTTCTGCTGCTTGCTAATTTTCCTGTTTGCTGCTTTTTGCTTTTGCTTTTTGGCATTTGTTGTTGCACTTGCTTTCTTTTTGTTGTTTGCCTATAATTTATATATTTAACAATTTAAAAATATTTACACTTGTTTGTTATTATTATTATTGTGGTCCTTTTTTGTTGCTTGCCACAGATATTTGATGTTGCCGCTGTGCGTCAGTTATGAACGTACCACTCCCTTCTTCTTTACGCTTTTACTAAGCGCTTCGTTTTCACAGCTTTTCGTTGATGTTGCTTCTGACTGTGATACACACACACCAGCAATCTCTCTCTCTGTGTGTGCGTGTGTGTGTAATTTACAGCGAGTGTTCGTGATTTCGGGTCAACAGCAAAACCAAAATCCAACATTGGTGGTGCTGGTGGTGGTGGTGGTGTCGATTAATTCCACACCATAGCAAAAATAGAGCGGGGTGAGAATCAGAGCTTAAACATCAACAACAGCAACACGCAGCAGTTGCAACAGCAGCCACAAAAGGGTTGCAAACGTTGCACAGCCAGTTGCAAGTTGTTAGTTTGCCAGTCTTGATTTGTGTAGATCGATAAGCCGCTTTTTTGTTTTTTGGACAAGTAGTTTTTTGATTTTTTTTTTTGGTGGCAACAAACCAACACAAAGACACAACAAGTAGCCAAGCAGCAGCAACAGAAGCCCCCAAAAACCTGCCCAGCAACAACCCCCTTAAAAAAAAAGCAAGAACAAATAATGCTCAAATAGCGACTGCGTTTGCGCACTCGCTCAGCAATTGCTACAAATGTGACGAGTGCTCTCTCTCTCTTTCTACCCCTCTCTCTCTCTCTCTCTCTCTCTCTTGGTCTAATAACACACGCATACAGGCACACACTCGAGTAGGAGGCAAGCACACACACTTGTGGATTGCCGAAAATTATGCAACAGCAACAGAAATCGAAGCAGCTCTGGGGAAGGAGGGTGTCTTTAATGGGTAGCTATATGAATGGATGGCCGGATGGCTGGATGGACGGATGGCTGGATGGATGGATCGTCTAAGGGAGGTTTGCTACACTCGGCAAAAAAATAACCGAACTAACTTGGCGCCAAGTGTAACTCAGATTATTATTCAACAAGTAAATTTCTAAAATGTATGTTTGTGGCTTGTTAAAAACCCGGTTTTTAATTTATAAGTTTCACTGTGGATTTTTATTTAATTTAGAAAATGTGAAATAGAAATGTACTTATTAATAATAGAAAATATTCCTTAAAACAAAATAACATCGTCGTATGTTTGTGATTGTCGATTTAGGGCAATGCTTTCTATTTCTTAGAAGATTTGCTGCTAATATTTTAAAATTATTTTGAGATACAAATACAACTATCTATATTTTAGTGTGATTTTTTTTCGGAGTGTAGCAACATAAACTTCTCTATGGGGTGTGTGTGGGTGTGTTTGTTGTGTTTTGATGTCTGCCACTTGGCTGACTCGGCTGCCGCAATTGTCTTGCGAAAAGTGCCAATAAAAAAAAGATGCAAGCACAGTATTGCGGCGCTAATTTAAGCTTAAGTATGGCCAGATTTGCATTGCACACACACCGACACACACCCGCACACACACACACACACACCAACACGCAGTCACACTCATATACACACACACCCATTCTGAAACTAAGCTGAATTCGGTTAAAGCATTTAATTTGATTATTTTGCATTTGAACAATTGCCGCATAGCTGTTGACCAAAAGCTGACACACAACTTGGCCAAGAACGGACAGCAGCCTGAATTCTCTGCCAGCCTCTAACTCTGCCCCCCCCTCTATCATCCCCTCTCTATTCTTGCTGCCTGTTGTCCTTTTTAACATTTTGAGGTCTGGGGCTTTATTTCGTTACGTTTCGTTTCGTTTGGTTTGGTTTCGTTCTGTTTGCCCAGCGCAAACCAAATCAAAAGGGGACGACAACGAGGACAACAACAACAGCAGCAACAACAGTAACAGCAACAACAATAACAGCAACTAAAGCAACAAGGACGTCATGGCCCGTGGCCCTGTGGCCCATTGCTGTTGCTATTATTGCCATTGCCTACACTCAGGGAAAAAACGCCTTGAAAACAAAAAAAGATTTTCTTATTTTTAGATATAATTTATAAATATTAGGGAAACAAATTCAAAAATTTTGAAAGGCTTGTCCCAAATCGAAAATCCTAAAAGTATTTCAGTTTTTTTTTTTTTTTGTAATAGTAAAAATTTTTTTTATTATTTAGAAACACGTTTCTAAAAAGAAGAAAAGAAATTCTATAATTCTTCAACAATTAATAAAATTAGTCTAAAAATATTAATGATTAATAATAATAAAAGTAACAATAAAGCTAATAGAAGAACTCCTCTCGTATACATAGAAAACCAACCCGAATATTAGATACAAGTTATCTAAATTTAAAAAAATCCACGCTTAAATTTAGGAATACAAACCCTGGTTTTTAGAAAGCCACAAACATACATTTTAGAAATTCACACTCTGAAAAATAAGGTGAGTTA